ATTCATTTTGGCTTCCTAGCTAGTTTTATCCTTGGACCAGGCTGGATGTCAGCAAGCTGCTTCCTCTCCACTCTCGTCCCTTCGCCTGCCCGTTGTTCCGTCCCGCCCCGCTCTCTGCAGGGGCACTGGGCAGAATTCCATTTTGAAGTTATGCTTGACTTTCCCAGGGAGATACGGTCACCTTTGCTGCAGGGATGCAGAAGGCACCGCTCCCGCTTTTCCCAGAGCCCACCACATTACAGGAGGACAGAGGACCTTCGACTGTCCCTGCATCTTAAAAAAAAAAAAAAAACACAAAAACCAACGAAAAAACAAAACCCAAACACACAAAAGACCTGAAGAAATTCATCAAAATATCAAAATTTATAATATTTGGGTGATGGGTACATAAATGTGTGTATTATTTTTTTTTGCTTTTAAATGTTTTGAACTATAAGAATAATAAAAATGCATTAATCCTGAAGGTCGTACCAGTTAGAGGGATCTACTTGCAGGATTTTGTGAGCATCCCTCCAGACATGGCTCCATTAAATAATGGTCTGGAGCACGTGTGAACCTCGCAGTGACAGACCTTGTTCAACTCTGCTTCGGCTCTGCCCTGCACCCTGACTTTGGGTTACCTCACAGTTCCTGGGTGTTAGTTTCTAAGACTGGGATAACAATGGCACACAGCTCTTAAGGTCTGTGCGAGGACTGAATATGAAAATGAGTGTCGAGTCGTGCCTACAACACAGGGACAGTCCATCCAGGGAGCAGCTGCCATGTATGTGATGTTGTATTCGGGGACCCTGCGCCGGGCCATTCTCTATGACAGAAAATGTGATCCATGGCATTGAGAAAGAGGATAGAGGAGGAAAAGCTTCGATGCTGTAGAGGAAGTGGTTCCTTTCATCCCCTGGCTCTGGAGGAGCTCAGAGCCACCGTGCGCGTGGGTGGGACCCTGTGTCGAATAGGGCTGCTCTGCTCCCCCGTGTCTCGGGGCTGTGCGACCCACGGCTGACTTTATCTCCCTGTGTCGTCCTCTGGGCTTCCTGCCGACCTCCTTGGATCCCATGTACAAGGTATTTGGGAGGAAAGAAAGGAAAGAGGGAGGAAGGGAAACCGGGTGGACAGCAGGAAGGATGGCCACACAAGACTTGGACGTTGTGGCGGTGAAGCTCGGTTGACCCCATTCCTCAGGGTACACAGGACTCCTCCGGTGCCCTCTGCCAGCGGGAGTGTGCTTATGTTTTGACTGGCATCGAGCCCTAAGCCATTATCCCGGCCAGTGTTCATCAGTGACGGCGCCACTTGGCGGTCCTGGTGGGTTCTCATTCATTTTGGTGTCTGATGACTGCGAGTGCCGGTTCTTCATTATCGGTGTGGAGATTGGGTGCTTTATTTTTTGGCAGCAAATGTTTCATCCAAGGTCAATTTCCCTCAAGTGCTCAGCACCGTTTCGGACGGTGTGTGCGCAGGGAATGCAAATTAATTTGATGTTAGCTTTAGCCAAACCCAGCTAGGAAGGTAAACCTGATTTTAAAAACACCGTAAACACTGAGAAACATCATGTAAATTGTATGATGTTTGAGCATGTATAAATGCGTGAAAGTTCACCTGAATCCCAAAGGCATCTCTCGCAGCACTTCCGAGCTCAGCTCTGAGTTATTTCTGTTCTTTGATTGTAAAAGTCTTAATTTGAGGTGATTGTCTTGGCCGTTCTATTTTATGGAAGAGGGGGCTATCAGAAGTGACTGAGGATACATGTATGTTTCATGTTTTTGTTCTCTTATAAAAATGCAACACGTGTTTATCATGGAAAATGAGGAAATGCAGGAAACTTTGGAGGAAACAGAACCATCCATAATCCCTTCACCCAGGGATAATCACTGCTAATGTTTTATTATCTCTCTTCCCACACATTGTTAAGGTTGTAGAAATTCTCAAGGTAGATTTGTAGACTGTTGTAAGGAAAATATTAGAGGGTATTTTTTGCAGGTGTAAAGGTACCTTTAGAATGACTTCTGGCTCCCCAGACCTCCTGCCCGAAAGGAAGTGGGTCATGGGGAGTTCTGGGACCCACTTTTCCATGAGGAGTCCTGTCTTTTCCTTGTCCACCACCTTCTACCTTTTTTCCTTCGTCCTTCAGGGGAGGACTTGCTGCAGTGATGGACTGGGCTGGTGCCAAGAGGCTGAGCTGGAGAGGCCAGAGCTCCCCAAGCCAGAAGTCTTCCCCAGCAGCTCAGGCAGATCTTGGAACACATCTGGGGACTTATGTGATTGCATCACAGCTGCAAGGTGTGGGATGCAGGGCTGTTCAGCTCTTGGGGTGCATGTCCTACAGCAGAAATCCTTCTTGTTGTGTGGATGGATTTCCTGGTCTATTTCCCCTCCTTCAGAGTGGCCCATCCAGAGCTCCCTGCACCCAGCAAGGCTCCTCCTTTTCACCCCTTTCTGTTCTCCGAGGTGAGTCCCCAGCTGCCCACTCTGACCATAGGAACAGACTAGGAACTGTGCATCTCTCTTCCCCCATCCCCTGCTGGGTGAGCACATGACCCAAGTGGGGCCCATTAGAGATCTTCTGGGAATTTAAATTGAGAATCAAGAACATGGGGCCCTTTCTTCTGGTAGTCAAATTGGGAAGACAGGAGCCTATGAATCCAGCAACTATGACCCATGATAGGTGCAAGATGGAGCCTGCAGTAAGAGGTAGTCAACCCCGGCTTCAGAGAGAGACGAGGGAGACCAGGAAGGCTGGAGTGGGGGGCGGGTGGGGCGGGGAGAGGCCAGCCCAGCGGTATTCTAGTCTAGTTGTGATCTAGGTTCCCTGAATTCTCTTCCCCAAGAGTTGGTTTTCTGTTCCTTAAATTATATAATTCTCCCCAATAAATTAGTTCTGAACTGATTTTTGGGGGTGTCATTTGTTGCCCAAAACACCCCAACATTAGGGCCAGACTCCCCTCTCCTTCTAGTTCCCAGGGTTCTCTGCAGTTGTCTGACTTCTGGGACGTGGAGACCCCTGGCCTTCTGTGCCTCACGAGCCCCAGGTCTTCAGCTGGCCACCCCTCCCTTTCTTAGGTGGGTGTCCAGGGCACTGTGGCAGAGTGAGGGTGGGCCCTACTCAACCCCGTGGCTGTGGGGTCTCCTCTGTTTTCCTGTCTTTAATGCTAATTGTTTAGCTCTTTTTAACTTCCAGTATTATTTTGCAAGGGGAAATGTCAAGATAAATCACTTTTTAAAGAAGAGGTAGCAGACTGGGTGTTTAAGAGAATGTCCAAGGGCCACCGAACACGTCCATCCAGTGGAATAAGGCCACCCGGCTCCTGGACTCGCTGGTGTTTTAGAAGGGACTTGAGCCGTGGTTAGAGAATGGGCTCGGTATGCTCAGGCAAGAGTCTGCAGCTCCTCAGATGCGCTGGGTGCTGTGCTGGCCCAGGGGACTGGCAGGTCACGGGGAGAGAACCGTGTCTGTGTCTTCTTTGATAGACGGCATAACAAGCTGTGGGAGCGCCCTGTCATTTTCCCGGGGAAGACCTCTCCTTAAAGTGCCCTCTGGCATTCACTGCTGAAGGCCACACGTGGACTCCACATCACGTTACGAATGTGACAGCCACCAGCACGCAGGACAGACAGGGCTGTGCCTTTCTCTGCAACCTGAACTTCCCCCAGCCACCCACCGAATCCCAATGAGGTCTGGGTGCTGCCAAGCCACTGCCAAATGACACTCCACTCCGCTGACAAAGCAGCCCCCCCCCCCTGCTGTTCCGTCCTGACAGGTATCTATTTTGAACTCCTCCTAGAGAATGCCGAGACAGCTCCCATCCTTGGTCGGCCTCCCCAGGGGATGACCCACGCTGTCTCCCAGGCGGGCTTTTCATTGTGAAAATTGGTGGTGAGGGTGGTGGCAACAGAGTGTGTCACAATCCAACTGTCCCTTTGTGCCGAAAGCCTACAGCCCGAGTCTGAGGTTCTGGGGAGACTGTGTTTTGAGGATTCTAAAGGCAAAACCTCCACAGGGAAAAAACAGTTATTTATATTATGTTAGTTGTGAAAGAAGTAGGTCAGATAGACCAAATAACCTTTGCTGGAAGCATGATAAGGTCCAGGCAGGCGAGAGTGTGGCCAGGAGACGATGTGGTAGAGGGGAACCGCAGCCTGATGGCACTAAGGCGAGAGAGAGGGCTGGCAGCCGGAAAGCCACAGAGTATACAGACGGGACCTTTAGTCCACTTCTCCCTGAACATATGTGCTACCATCCACTTTGCCAGTGCCTTTCTGGTAAGAGTCACAGTCAGACCTTTATATCCAGGGGCTTTGCGGTCTCAGATTCAACCAACGGCGGATCAAAAATATTTAAAAATAAAATTGCATCTGTACTGAACATGTCATTCATTTTTTTGGGGGTATTTTTTTCTTGTCATTAATTCCTTAACAATGTACCACAACAATTATTTATAGAGCACTTGCATTGTATGAGGTACTATAAGTCACTGGGTGTGACTTAAAGTACATAGGAGGATGTGTATAGGTTCTTTACATATACTACGTCATTTAAATTTTATTTTGGGACTAGGGATTGACTCCGGGGGGCATTGTACCACCGAGCCACCCGTAGTCATTTTTTATTTTGAGGAAGGGCCTTGCTAAGTGATTGAGGGTTTTGCTAAGCAGCTGAGGCTGGCCTTGAACTTGCGATCCTTTTTCCTCAGCCTCCCAAGTCATTGGGATTACAGGCATGTACCTCCTGGTACCTGGTCAATACTCTGCTATTATATATGAAGGACTTGAGCATTCTCAGATTTTGGTATCCATGGGGGAGGAGAACTAATGCCCCATTTGAATACCAGGGGATGACTATATATCTTTTTACTCAGTTAAACCATTTGTAATAAAAAGTATGATAAATTGTTGCTTCTACCTCCCTGATCCCCCAAAAGAAAGCCAACAGCCAAGTATCACAGGGCCTAGAGACACATTATGTTATTATCATGTGTATAATTTACATGAACACATGTAAGTACCTTGAGAATTATGGTCTTCTCGTGGCGGGTGATGTTGACACTGTGGGGTTGTCCGTTGGCCATGTTCCTGTGGTCTACATCAATATTGTACGGCTCTCTGGTGCCTCCCAGGTTGTACCGAATCTGCAAATTTCCTGTTTAAGAAGAAGGAAAGAAATGTGGTAACATTTTTGCTGATTCGTTTCAATGTCCCTTTCCCCACTCCTGCAACTTTGACTTCAGTTAAATTCTGCTCCTTCCTTTAATGCCTATTGACACCATTCCAGTGTTGAACCTGGATTCTCTATTCAGATGGCTGCTGATCCACAAGGGTTGACAGCACTAGGCTCACAGGTATTTACAACCTGCCCACGATGAACCTCAGTGAACCGTTATCACAAAGTTGATGCAGCAAGTAGTATAAATGCTCCAAGCTGGAAATGAAGAACATGTACAACATAGGACTGTGGAGATGCCTGCAGGCCCCCCCAAATACTATGTCAAATAAAAGGTAAACACAGTGCTTAGGGAAGGTGTCATATCACCAGTGAAGTGTGACATTCTGCGTGTAAGAGAATCTCAAGCATCCAATAATAAAAATAAACATAATTTGCAAAAGATAAATACATGGGATGTTGGGTGGCCTCATTGCTGCCAAGAAAGCAAAATAATGAATTTTCTTCTGGGTTAGAGATTAACCAAATGCAAGTTAAAGGAAAGGATGGTGTCCCACCCTTGTTGGCACCTCAGGTCCCCCAAGTTCTCTCCATGATATTTCACTTGGCCCCCAACTCATTTCTGTTTTCCTCCTTGCTTCTTCTCAACAATGACAAGTGATCTTCGAAAAGGTTAATATGACATCTGAGATCCTGCTTTTAGCTAATCTGTATAGCAAGCACGGCTTTTATTTCTTACTTATGATCTTAAAATATATCAATTTGTTTATGTCATTTTTACCCAAATTGGAATTTTCATGCTGTTAGTAGCATTTGACATCTGAGCGCTTAAAAATGGAGTCGGCAGTGCAGCGAGGCTTTGACCAACTGGAAGCACCTACTGGGTTTGCAGTTGCCTCTTTCATTTCTTTCTAGAGGCACAAAACTCATAATCTGATTTTTTTTTTGTACCAGGGATTGAACCCCCAGGTGCTTAACCACTGAGCCCCAGCCCAAGCCCTTTGGTCATTTTTAAATTTCAAGACAGGGTCTTGCCAAGTTGCTTAGGGCCTTGCTAAATTGCTGAAGCTGGCCTTGAGCTTGTCATCCTCCTGCCCCAGCTACCCCAGCCTCCGGGATTACAGGTGTGCGCCACTGCACCTGGCTGAGACTTTGATTTTTAAATTACAAAACAAAACATGATAATCAACAGGGAGAAAGTAAACAAAAAAGAGAAAAGAATACCATCACCCACGACCCCACCGTGGAGAGATACGGACTGCACCTTGGCAGTCTCTCCTTCCAGACGTTGGACTGCACATGTACACACGTAAATAAATGCAGTGCTTTCTAAAATGCTGTCCTTCCCTTTTTGGGGCTTCAAGCATTACACATACCATTTAAAATGTAGCACCATGTTCCTGAGTTGAAGGGAACATTTGTTAGGGTGATCAAGAATTAACTGCACTTGGTGTTTTTGCTTTCTGAATGAAATTCGATAAACCTTTGCTATTTCTGAGTTTTACGTTAGCATCTTATCTTGGATTTCTTTGCTTGTAGCATTTCTGCCAAGCATGGCTGACTTTCTTCTCTTAGACATCAAATTCGCCCCTTCTCTTCCACATTGCTCCTTTCCAGCAGATGTGGGCTCTCTGTGTCCAGCACCATCTCTATTTACCAAAGCCTCCGGTCACACATATCTTCTGGCTCCACTGAGGTCCCTCTGGCTGAGCCCAGACTGTCTTCTCATTATTTTGGCCCCGATGTCTTGTTGGCACCTCAGACATAGCACCCACAACGTAAGACGGACCCATTCCCAGAAGTGTCCCATCGCATTTTGATGGACGCTCACCTTGTGCTTCCAGACCCCCTTTTCCTACATCATGTGTCTGATCTTTCAGCAAATCCTGGCTTGGTCTTTGTACCATGCATCTTGTCCCCTCTTGCTTCTGCTTTTACTCCAACTTCCCCCGTCCAATCTGGCCTTTGCCCCTCATACACCCTTTCCCCCTGGTGGTCAGGGTGACCCTCTGCTCAGAATCCTCCAATGGCTTCCATCTCACTCAGCGTAGAAATCTGAGTCCTCGTGGTGACTTACCTCGAGGCGCCCATTGGAGCCTCCTCCACCATCTCTGACCTGATTTCTGATTTCTCTCCTCCTTGCTCAGGCCTCTCCAGTTCACAATGTCCTCCTTGCTGACTCCCTAGAAGCCTAGCAAATGCTACCTTGGGACCTTTGCCCTTGCCTCTGTCTAGGATGCTCGCCACCCAATATCAGCATGGCTGACTTCTCACTCCTTCAGATATTTGCTCTTATGTCATCTTCTCAGTGATGACTTCTGTGGAAGTGGAAGTTACCCACTCCTTTTCCTTAGCCAGTGTCCCCCGCTTTCTGCCTTATATTTCCTCCATAACAGTTCTTACCATACAACACACTAAAGATTAATTAATTTGCTTATCCATCTTCTTTTCAAAGGTAAACTCCGTGAAAGCAAGAATTCTTTTTATATTCTTTATTTCATTATGCCCAGTATTCTTCAAATACGTGGCTGCACCAGTTCACCTTTCATTTATTCATTTCTGCGGAATGCGTTTATTTAGTGCTGTACAAAGCACAGTTTTTCCGTGCCTGATCCACGGTAGGTACTTTATAAGTATATGTTGAATCAGTTTATGAATGGATCTTCTTTCCCAATGTTTTCATGCAAAGCACAGAGAAGTCTTTTCAAAAATGCATAAGTATTTCACGGGTTCATTTAAAGCCCTTCAAAGTCTTCCAGTTGCTCTTAGGATGAAGATGTACATTCTTAATCCAGCTCCTCATGCCTTGTCTGATTTGCTTGCTCATTTATTTTCAAATCATGCCACTCTCCCTCTTGCTTTGTATACCAAGCTGCCTTGGAATTCTATTCCCTAGAAAATTCCAGTCTCTTCCTACCTCAGGGCCTCAGAAGGTGCTGCTCCCTCTTTCTGCCTGGGTCCTTTCCTTTCTCAGCATTTTCCTGATTTTTTTCCCCTTTACCCAAATGACATTAAAAAACATCATTGTTTGCAAGTGAAGGAGATAATTAGCAGGTATTTGGCAACCCGCAGAGCAAACAAGTTGGTTGTCTTAAGCTTTTACTCCTGATGCCTGGACATCATGTGACAACAGCGGGTTTCTTCAAATACGTGGCTGCACCGGTTCACCTTTCATTTATTCATTTCTGCAGAATGCGTTTATTTAGTGCTGTACAAAGCACAGTTTTTCTGCAGGCCTGAAAGTGAGCTGTCAGTCTGGTTACAGTGTGGACAGGCACTAAGCATGGATCTAGAGATCCAAGGTGAGTAAAAGAAGGCTCTGGATGTGAGTGTGAGAGGACCAAGTGATTACGCAGAACCTGGTCCATATGCCTCCTGACTTTCAGTGGTCCTTTTATTTTCTCCCGTTCCATTAAAATCAGTTGGGTGTGGGGGTACACACCTATAATCCCAGTTTCTTGGGAAATGGAGGTAGGAGGATTGTAAGTTTGAGGCCAGCCTGGGCAACTTAGTGAGACCCAGTCTCAAAATAAAATAATGAAAAGGACTGGAGATGTAGCTCAGTGGTAGAGCGCTTGCCTAGCATGTGAGGCCTCCATCAATCCCTAGTACTGGGCAGGAAAAAAAAATCAGTATTGAGTTGTTTTCATTATTTTTTCCCTCTTTTTTCTGGCTTTGTTGGGTTTTGAAGATATGATTTAAAATTCCTATAAATGCTTCACTTAATAGTAACAGAAATTCTTCGCTTTGACAAAAAAGATGAGTTGGAACTTTAAATTTATATAGAGTGAGTATCTATAAACAACAGTGGGAATATTCTTGAAAAATAAAATTTAAATGATATATTTATTCCTTTCAAATAATAGCAGAAGAGGATCACTAAATGATGGTTGGGAGGATGTTAATATTTATCCATTAAAGTAAAATATTATTCAAATGAGGGGTACTTCACTTCTTCTATATCTTGTTCATCTCCCAGGTGAATTAAAGCCGTTATAAGGGACTGCTCTTTTATTGGGCTGCAGCAAATAACGTACTTAACAGATTTATTCTCTCCTGGTCTTCATCATTATCATCAGCAAACACTTACAGGGCACCTATTGTAGGCAGGAGATGTAGTGCTGGGAGCTTTTCATCTCCTGGGAAGACAGGCCGTATTTATAACAGAGACAGATAACAATACAGTACATTAAGTGCCAAACAAATGACATTGAAAATAAGCGTAATTGGAGTTTGAAGTCAGGAGAAGTCATTGTGAGTAGGTGAGCCTTGATGTGGGCCTCGGATGAAAGACAGGTGTGGACTGAAGAGCCAGGCGGAGGGTGTGTAGGTCTGGGAGCATCGCGGGCATGAGGCCAGGACAGAGGACCGCTGACGACTGGAGTTGGTGCTTCTTGAAATCGAAGGGCAGGGGCTGCTGGATAGGTGGCAAAATATGGATGGACTCGGTGGATTCTGGTGAGAGTAATCACTCAGCCTCACCCGTGGGCCTCTGCATGTATACACCATGTAGTGCTCAAGACCTGGGTACTCATTTACTTTTCAAAATAATTCGATAAGGGAGACACTATGTTACAATCAGGAAACTGAGGCATGGGGCTGCTTACTGATCATCCAGGTCAACTGGCAAAAGGCAGATGCAGAATTCCAATCCAGACAGTCCAGGCTCTTCCCTATGGGGCTGGAGGTGCTGCCTGCAAGGCTGTGAGTTAGGGATCTCCCTTGCTCTCCATGCGGGGGCTCTGATAAGTGTTTAATGGGGACAGTATACCCTATCTCCAGGAAACGATGTCCATATGAAGGAGGCCTTTTCCAGGTGTGCCGGGAAAGGCTGATGCCACTTAGATCCGGTTTCAACCCAGAAGCAACTGGAAGCAGAGAGATGGGCCAGAGCTTCCCAGCAGGACGTGCTATCCTACCCTGGGTAATGGGGCAGCAGACGATGCTGCCCTCCCCACTCAGCAGATCCATGGGAGGCAGGGTAGCCGCAGTCCCCGGTGGGGAGCCTACCAACACAGCTGATCCACAGCTGGGCCAAATTTGAATAATTCAGAGGGCGCTGTGGGAGGGCCAAGTTTGAATAACTCAATGATTCAAAATAATCATTGAATTATTTTGAAAATTAAATGAGTACCTAGGTCTTAAATATGCACACCACTCAAATGCAGTCCATTTCTATGGTTGCATGATGTGGGGGTGCTGGGGACCACTGATGTGGACGTGTGCGGTGGAGAGTAGTGTTAGGGAGCAAGGGGACGGGATAGGAGTCCTCAGGAGGCGGGAGGACGGAGCTTTCGCAGATGGAGCTCAAGCATGTGCGAGGTGGTGGTGGCTGTCAGAACCCGGAGGCTCCAGAGAGGATGGCTCTGGGGATCAGCAACAAGACCTTTCTGAAGGACAGCAGCAGTTTTAGCCAAGACTTTCTAGTTTGTTAGTCCCCCCTCCCCCTTCTATTTTGTCATACATAGACCTTATTGATTTTTTTTTTCTCCCAGAAATTTAAAAATGCAGTATTTGGAATGCAAAAAGGTTGACTTTTCACCAGCAGTTTGAGGATTTCACCAGCCAAATGCACTGACTGTCCAGAGGGACCCGAGGGGTCTGGGCCTGGAGTCAGACACCTGCACCCAGAAACCCCAGGCCTGCCCTCAGCGCTGAGCGGGCCAGTCCTTGACCCTCTCTGCGCACCAGCTTTGCCGTCTGTAGAAAGGCGCGAGAGGACCTCCCTCCTGGAGCTGTGTGCCTCCTGGGAATCAGCGCCCGTGAAACACTTAGGAGGGTGGTGGGGACGCAGCGAGCGACGTCAGGTGGCGGCCACCGCTAAGGAACTGATCACTCCAAGCACCCCCCACCCCCCACCAACGAACGCCCCCGCCCCGGGGAACACGTGCACGCGACGCTGCCGTGGCTGTGGGAAGGTGTCACTGAAATTTAACCGGGACCAAATTTTGGTGTGGCCGATGTGGAGGAGCGGACGACACAGCATCTACAGCGCATGCTCACCCAATTCTGACCCTCTCAAGGTGAGAGCCCTCCTCCTGGGGGGGGGGGGCGGAGAAGAAGCCCAAGGGCTATCTGCCCACTTGGAGGCTGGAACATCTGGGTGGAGAACGGATTAAAAATCCATTTTTCCTGATCCAGAGGAAATAAACCAGTGATCTCCTGGAAAACAGGGGGTGCGCGTGTTCTCTCCTGCACTCTTACTTTCTGTTTCACTTGCTATTCTTTTTTCACTTGCTATTCTCTTTTCTGACTAGAAAAGCAACACTGGCCCAGTGTGAGCCTCTGACATGGACAGAAGAATATTACTCAGGAGAAACAAATCACCCACAGTCCAGTCAAAGACCTGAGCTCACATTATTGCTATTTTTAAATTTGTTTTTACAGAGCTAGGCTGATTGTAGATTCAAGGCTGTACCTCTATTTTTTTTTTGTTAGTTTACCATTATGTCACACAAAATTTCCCTATGTCATTAGTTGCTCTTCATAAAAGTTATTTTTAACGAATACCTATTATTCCGTAAATTGATGCCTGTCTTTTTCACTCTTTTACTAGAACAAAATCCTAGGCTCTTTCTAATCCTTCTGTTTATAGACAGCTCCGTGATGAACATCCTCAGGTTTCATGAATCCTGTGTGATTTTGGTCTTATCTCTTTAGGAATGATTTCTGAAAGGGAAAATTCTAGGTAATATGCATTTTCTCACATTCTTTTTTACCAACAAAGCTTTGCCTACAGAAGGAGTTTAAATTTTGCTATTTCTTAAAACCCTAGCTGAGTTGGGTTAATAATAATTTTTGGCTCCCATGGGAGAAGGTCTCGATCTTTAAGATGCCCCAACACTGGAGTGCTGTGGACCGCGAGGAGAGATGGATGATGGGGGCGCTTCCCGGCTGGAGCCCACAAGGTCTCTGTAGGAGTGAGCGGCCGAGAGCTCTTCCTTCACACACCAAACGTGTTTATTCCTAAAAAAGTGATCTTGAAACTTTAACCATTTGCAAACTGATGTTTCAGACAGGAGATGGATTCCAGTTCAGGACTGGCCAGACTCCTCTCAGAGGGCACTATGGGAGGGCCAAAGCCCGTTGCACATTCTAACCAGGATCCGGCCTGGTTCAGAGCATGGGGTGATCAAGATGGCAGCTGGGCATTACAAGTAAGAACACACCCCTGCTTTCAGCAACCCTTATTCCAGGGGTGTATTTTATAAAAGTAAAATTCTGAGGGAATTTAGGCATGAAAATGTCTCTAACTTTCTATACAATATCATAAATCAGGGTAGTTCCTTGATTTATACAAAATTAATTTTACTTCTTCAAAGCTCACGTCTATTTAACACAGTGGCAAAGGTATTTACTTAATGGGAACAAAAAAATGATCACTACACTTGTGAAACCCTCTTATTCATCTAATATTGTTCTTGAAAGGCATTGATACACCTCATCAACGTTACTACTAAAACACAATGCTACAAAGCACGCAACCAATGAGGTATTTCTTGACTTTCATACAGAGAATGAGGTTTGAAGAAGTTAGGCAACTCTCTTAATGTCCTATGGGGAATAAAGAACGAGACAGAACCATCCAGACTCCTTCTAGAACATTCTGTCTGCCCACTGTGGGATGGCGGAAGGCTAGCTATCCTTGTCCTTACCGGTGGGTTTGACGAGAACTGCCAAGAAGTCCGTGGTGAGAGAACTGACGTAGAGGAGGATGCAGGGTGCCCTGGTGGTGCTGAAGCTGAAATGGATCTGCTCCTGAGCCAGGTCTGGGCCCGAGTGCTGCTGGTCCAGAGAGTTCTCTGCTCTACTGCCCGAGTCTTTGGAATTGACTGCAGGTGCCTGGAAGTTGTACCGAAGCCACATCCCCTCTTCAAAGAACGCACCAACATCTGTTGAAAAGGAAAGGTGAAATTGAAAAATGAGGGCAGGGTTGGCACCAACCCAGCCAAGGTGTTCAACTTGGGTAGACTGCTGACTTCATGATGGCCTCTGAGACAGGTCACTGAGGGTCCCACTGGCCCCAGGAGGTGTCAGACTGAGTAAACTAGGCTGATGTCTGCCATCTCATCAACACAAATAGCCTGTCAAAAACAAACCACTCAACAAACACAGCATGTAACAGAGTATGGAAATCTGCAAGATTAAAAACAGTAATAAAAATTAAGAAACTGAAATCATACTAGAAAAAAAAAAAGATGTCATGTACGCTGCTCAGAACCAAACAACTGATTTTTAGTTTGAGGAGACAGGCTGAAAAATAAAGGCAGAATTATAGCATAGAGCCCTGATTTAAGGAGCCCACTTGTGCGTTCTCTTTGAGATTGGGTTTGATTTGGTTATTCACACGGAAAGGCCCAACGTAAACCCTAAGACTCGGGGGGCTTTGTGTATAGAGCTTCCATTCACAAAAGATAAAATTAGAGAGAACTGGATTCAGATTCGGCTCTGGGGTCACTTAGCTGGGTGGCTTAGGGGAAGTCAGTTAACCGACTTCTGCAGGCCTCAGTATTTCATCTGTGAAATGGAGAGTAATTGGCTCTAAATAAATAGTATCTATTGTTATCATCGTTAAGAAACAAGAAGGAAGGTCACTCACCCTTCCTGCACGATGCTTTTCTGATAGCCTGATCAGTGCTAATTGGGTTTTAATCACTTCCTGGCAGACAGGACCCTGGTGCGGGTTGCCCATCCTTGGCTCACCCGGGTTCACTGACCGGCTGAGTCACCCGTGAAGATTCCTGTGGTCTTCAAAGTTAGTTTCATGACCCTCTTCCTATGCCTTTCCAAAGCATTTCTCAAACCTCACTGCCCAGGGAACCCATTAATCCCACAACACCCAACACGCCGCAGCACTGACACGCTGCAGAATATATTTTACAAGCACTGCTCCACAGTATGATGAACAGAGGAGGACATTGTCAGACAGGTATCCCACTGGAGGGGTACTAATGGCTTTTAGCAGGCAGGGGTAAGGACAGGAGGCTGTCCCTTAATGTCAGGACTGTGTTTCACAATAAAGAACTGTGTTGCTCAAAATCCCAAAGTAATTTTTTTTTTTTTTGGGGAAACACAAGATTGAACCAATACTTCACCCATGCCAGTTGCTGCAGGTGCTTGTTGGGATGTGAAGAGAAACAAAAATGACGCTTTCCTCTCACAGCGTGGCCCGTGTTGGGGGAGACAGGTCAACCATCTGAGCACAGCGTGGCGAGTGTTACCCTGTAGAGGTGGCAGACTTGGGACGGGAACCCTCGTGGCCTGAGTCGGCTTTCTGTTCTTTCAGAAACATCTCTCGAGGACCGACTATGTACCGGGCACAATTCTGGGCGCTGAAGTTACAACCCTTGCACTTAAGACGCTCTGGATCCCGAGGAGGATTTAGAGAAACAGGCTATTCAAATGCAGAGGGGCATTCCCAGGACCAGGTATACACAGGGGGACCCTGGAACACAGTGAGGCATGCAGCTGAGAAATGGGCAAAGACATTGGGCGGAGAGCCAGCCTGCAGGCTGAGGCATCGTGCCACTGGACTACACCCACGGCCCCTTTTAGAACAGTCCGTGGAGGCTCCCACCCCATTTTAGTTTGGTTTTGGGGTACAGTGAATGTGACACAGGTGATTCTTGTCTTCGTAATTCAGAGTCTCTGGGATAGATGTGCGTTCCTGGGACAGGCCTCTGGAACTACGTCTAGCTGAGCAGGGAGCCAGGGCAGGCCACCTGGGGCCAACACACCGTGGAGTTCACTTCCGCAGGGAGAGAGTCTACCAGAAAATGTGGGGCCTCCTCTGAGAACAGGCTCAGGCAGGTGGGAAAGAAGAGGCTGACCTGGGGCTTAGAAGAGGAGGAGGAAGGGAGCCCAGAGGATTCAAACAAATCAGAGGCAGGCAGTCAGGAAATCTGGGCAGGAAAAACAAACCCACCAGGTACTTGAAGTTCAAGGCTGAGTTCCTGGGGAGGGAGCTCTGGGCAACAGAGGCAATCGAGCAGGAAAAGGCTCCGAGGCCCTGAAGCTGCAGGTGCACAGTGTTCCCTTGGAGAACCTAAGCTTCCCCCTGCCAGGTTCTCCCCAGAGCCAGAGCTGCAGCCAGAGAGTGAGCAGAACCCATAAGTCACAGATGGTCTATGTGGAAGGCCATTAAAATGCTGGTCCCCAGGCTGGGTCCCAGAGGTGAGCACAGAGGTCCTGGCTCAGGGGCCTTGGCATCAGCATTTTAAACAGGCTCCCAGCTGATACGCCTGGGAGGATAAGGCAGGATGGCGACCCGATGGAGCAGGTAGCTGAGCCGCGCGCCCGGGTGATAGTGTGCATTTATCAGCTAAACTGGAGACAGCCGTTCCAAGGCGGATCATGAAGGGGAAATTCTGGAACCTAAAGATTTTAGATAAACAATCCAAAAATATGCCTCAGAGAATACTTTTGGTGTATTTTAGAGTCATCATTAAAAAGCGTCATGGATTTATGTCGGTTTTGGAGGAAGGGACACACCAAGCTTAAATGTGTCATTCTGAAACCGCATCATAAACCAACTGCTAAGCTAAGGCCCAGGAGTGATGGGAGTCGTTTAAGCTTCCAAGTGGCAGATTTACAGCTGTCATTTCATTGTTTCAGATGGCTTTAAGGAAATGCCAAATCAGATTACTGCATTCTCCTTTAGCATGTCACATCTCCATCCCTTCTGAGTGAACAACTCAAATAATACTAATTTAACCGGCTCCAAATAACATCAGCTCCCCCATTAAATCATAGAAAATCATTGGGTTAGAATGCTTGGTTTAAGGTGTCTAGGCTAATAAGATAGTCTAAGTTTCATAATATTCATTTTTTTGATAAATTTTGTACGTAAGTATTCTAAGACATATTATGAAAGATTTGTTGAATTACATCACATTTCTCAGAATGTTGAGATGCATTACATCATTTGTAGACTTAGGATCCTAAGACAGTACCCTTTTAAAGTGACCTTGTTTTAACTATTTAATGGCATTTAACACAGATCATATGAAATTATCCCTGATGGAGGAAAGGAAGTTTGCAAATGTTTGAGATAAAACCCACAAGTCATTCATCCAAGAATAATCCCATACAGATATTCATGCCCGTATCTAACCAAATCCCTGAGGCTCACGGAACTACTGCAAAAACTCCCCAAACACACACAAAAAAATGAACAAAACAAAACAGCTAGCACTCATCCCCATAATTAAATTGCTTCTCCTCTTTCTCTTCCTCAAGCTAAATAACTCTATTCCGTTTGCCTTTTTACTTAGGATATATTTTGTAACCTATATAGTATCAGAAGTTGATGTGGTTCTTTTGTACTCTAACTTCCCTGAGGACCCAGAATGGAAAATCCTCAAATTATAAATGGGCTCTTCTCCAAAAGTTCACTTCAAAGTCAGTAACTTGCAACTTGGAAAATATTTCCCTGTGGATACGATGTATTAAATGAGGGTGGGTTTGCCAGGAGAGCCCATGAGTGCTGGGCCACTTCGGATGTGTAATAAAAGATAATTGAAGAATGCCACTGTGTATTAGCAATTAAAACAGAGAAGCAACAACAGAAGGTGGTGAGGTTTATTTTTAATACAGGAACTTCAGAGAACTGTTCCCACCAGAATTTCATCTAACAGATCCTGAGGTGTGTGGTAAATGTTGAGTGATTGGCTCTGCGGGAGGGAGAGGATCCCGTCAGGACTTTTTGCCTATTGCCAATTCCCGGGGTGTAAATACCACTCACCACCTCAATTGATTTCAAGCTGCCAACGTGACCTCATAGATAGGGAGTGGATGAGAGATGTTTCCCCGGATGTGCAGGCTCGTCCAGCATATGCTCTTCTACCCACACCCACCACCCAGCCAACCAGCTGGGCTGCCACTGTGGTGGGCTTCCTTCAGTTTACTTTCTGCTACAAACAAAACTTCACTATGTGCTTATTCCTTCCTTCCTCCCAAAGCCCTTTTCCACCTCATCCCAACTGTCCCTCCCGCACTCTGGAAGCTCTGAATAGCTTCTGCTAAAATCTGTGTGTTCCTCCTGGGAAGCGGGACCTCACCAGGGAAATCAGGCCTGCACACGGCCTCAGGGTCATGAAGCTCTTCCGTGGCTGAATTCCATTGCTCAGGATGATCACTCTCATTAACTGCTTTTTAATTAGTCATCTAGTAAAAGACGTCAGTGAATTTTACGGAGTTCTGCTCTTGAAGACCTTGGACACTGACCTTGGGGAGCATCATGATTCTGTGTTAGAGTTGCTTTCCTCCAGGAGGATCTGAGAAGCTCAGCCCCTTCTAAATGTGTTTCTGGAAGTTCTCTGAAGGCCCTGCTGTCCTGAAACACAACCATTTTTTTTTTTCCTCCTGGCTTTACATTAATAAAATCTTTTTCTCCTCAAGTGTACTACACAATGTCCCTCCTGAATTCTTAAAATTCTGTTTGTTTGGTGTTTTCTTCAGTTTTCTATGATTATTTTGGACTACCGTCAATGTTTACCTCTACTAATTCTGCGTTCCCAGGAGGATATGTAGCTGATGTGACCAATTCCCACCACTCTCTCTAAAGGCCTGGTCATTTCCAGGTTGGTTTCCATAAAATAGGCTTTAAGTGAATCCTTCCAATGGAGGAAAATACCACCGACAGTCTCTCCAGTCAAGCCTGGGTGGCGTGTGCTGCCCATGAGAACCAAGTGCGAAGAATGTTACTTTAAACACATCAGTGAGCTGAGGCTTGGCTACGCAGGAGCCCGGAGACCATGTGCATTGGAGTTTGAGAGCAGCACTGAACGTCTTTAGGAGGTTTCACACAGGAAGAGTGTGCATCTGGGATTTCCAGGGCCGTGCTCCTGAAGGCGCACTGATAAGCGTCACTGGAGTGCACAGAGGACAGCGA